AGGGCGACCGTTCCACCTCGCCTCGGCGAGCGGCGCCGCCAGCTCGCCTGGGACGGCAAGTTCATCGAGTGCGGGCCCCGCGCAGATGGAGACGGAGGCCGCGGTGTCGGTCGGGAACACCTTCGCGGAGGTCGGCGCCCGTGCTTCTCCGGGACGCCGCGCGCCAAGGCGCGACTGCACGGGGGGCGACGAGCCCGGCAACGACCCCCTCCTCCACGAGCGAATCAACAGCATGCGCCTGGGCGACACGCGAGACATGGACCAGGATGCGGGCGCGCCGCTGGCCGAGCAACGTCGGCGACCAGCGCAGGAAGGAGCTGCCCACGCGGGCGCCCAGCAGCCTCCAGCCATGCCAGCAGAGGGGGGGGGGGGGGGGGGGCCAGCACGCCGCGGAGCCAGCCGCTGCTGACGCGCAGCCGCCGGCCGCGGAGCCGCCGCCGCCAGCCCCCGCCGCCCCCCGCCCTGCAGCCCGATGGCGGCCCCGCGTCCACTGCCCGGCGCCCGCATGCCCGCGCGCGGATGCTGCCGCCTCGCCAGGGCGGTCCAACCAGGAGAGCATGAGGGTCCACTCGAACGAGCACGCGGCGGGCCGCTACCCCAACCTGCCGCCTGTCCCGCAAGAGTTCCTCAACGAGCACGCCCTGGGCCAATGCTCGGTGCGTCGACGGTTCCTGAGTCTCCGCTTCCAGGGAGCGCGCCCCGGGCGCCAGCCAGCGGCGCGCGCGGCTGCAGCCGCGGCTCCCCGGGCCCCTCCGGCCGACGCCGGCGACGCGGCTGGCCAGCCAGGGCCCCCTTTGCTGCGGACCGTCTTCTCCAGCCACGCTGGCACGAGGCGCCACGTGCCCAAGGGGGCCAGGGCGCACAGCGCTCGGCGCAGGCCGCGGCGTTGGCGGCCCACCACAACACCGAAGCAGCTCGGGCCCAACTTGCCACGCTGCCCACGCGGGCGCTGCGCCCACACAGCCGAACCTCTGCCGCCGCTGGCTTGAGGGAGAGCGCCAGACGCTCTGGCCGGAGACACCAGAGCGGCGCCAGACGGAGGGAACGGATAAGGAGACTCACCGAGCACAGCGCTGCCTCGACTTGGCCTCGGCGGGGCTCTAATCGAAAAGCTGCGCTTCGCTGACGTCGGAGCCGCCCGCGTCCGCCACGCCGGCCGTCGTGGACCAGATGGGCCGCAAACACCCCCGCAGCCAGCAGCCGGTGGTGGACCTGGCTAGCCTGCCTGCTGCCCACGCGGCCGCCGCCGCCCAGGTCGACGTCTCTGTCATCCAAGAGGAAGCGCGGGCCTTCCCCATGGGGCTCGGCCGCGGGCCGCAGCGGCCTGCGCCCGCAACGCCTGCAGGACGCCCCGGCGACGGCAGATCACAGGGCCGAGGTTGTCGCGCAGCTCACTGGCCTCGTCAACGCGCTCGCGCGCGGCCAGGCCCCGGCGGCGGTCGCGGCTTGCAGTGCTGGTGCTTCGCTGGTAGCCCCCGAAGAACGACGGCGGCCTCCGCCCGGTGGCCGTCGGCGAAACACTCCGCCGCCTGGCGGGCAAGTGCCTTTGCAAGGAGGTAACCGAGGCCGCCCGCGACCGCCCGGCGCCCCTCCAGGTCGGCGTCGCTGTCCTGGGAGGCGGGGAGGCGGCGATCCACGTGGCCAGGCAGTGGTTCACGCGCAACTGGGGCGACAGGGACAAAGTCTTCGTGAAGATGGACCTCTCGCACGCTTTCAACACCCTGGACCGGAGGGCCATCCTCAGGGCAGCGCACGAGGATTTTCCCGCGCTGGCACCTTGGGCGGACTGGCGCTACGGCAGCCCCTCGCTACTCTTCCTCGGCAAACAGACGCTGCGCTCCGAGCGCGGCGTCCAGCAGGGCGACCCGCTTGGCCCGCTGGTCTTTTCCCTGGCACTCCAACACTGCGCCGAGACGGCGGGCCGCAGCCTCAGGGGGCTCGCGCAGGACGCCGGCCTGGACCCCGTCTTCTTCTACTTGGATGACGGCTGCGTGGCGGGCGACAGACACGCCGTCTCTCGCTTCCTGCCCCTCGTCGTTGAAGGGGCCCTGGGACACACAAATCAATACACGCAAATAACAAGATTCCCCATCTGTTCCGATATTTGTCGGGTTTCTGTCTTCCCCCCACTTCCCATATTTCCCATACTTTCTGGGGAATCGACGAATAATTGTGTCTGCGTGAATTTGTCCCTCCTGACTCGTGGCCGAGCTCGCAGCAGTCGGCCTCATCTCAGCACGGGGCCGGGCAAGTGCGAGATTGTCCCTGCGGCGGGGGCAGACAGCAACGCGTCCGCGGCGGATTTCCCACTGGGCTTCCGACTGCGCTCCGACGGCTGCTTCGAGCTCCTCAGCGCGCCCATCGGAGGCGACGATATCTGCTGCCATCACACGCAAGAACGAATCAAGAAGGCAGCGGAGCACCTGGGCGCACTGGCCGGCTTGGAGGACGCGCAGGTGGCTCTCCACCTTCTCCGGCAGTGTGCCTCCTACTGCAAGCTCGGCTACTCGGCGCGCGCGGTGCCGCCCTCCGCCCACACCGAGGCCCTCTTGGAGATGGATGTCGCCTCCCTCACCGACGACTCCTGGGCCCAAGCGCAGCTGAAACTGAACGCGGGCGGCCTGGGGCTGCGCTCCGCCGAGAAGCACTCGCCAGCGGCCCACCTCTCCTCGCGCGCCAAAAGCAGCGAGCTTTGCGGGCCCACGCACGCGGGCTACGCGGACGACGACGCGGGCGACGCCGGGGCCTTGACCGCGGCGCCCCAGACCCACGACGCCAGCATGACCGAGGCAGCCCGCGCCGCGCGCTTCGACTGGGAGAAGCACGCCAGCCAGAAGACTCTCTCGGACCAGGTCAGCGACGCCGCGCGCACCGCTCTCTGGAGCCGCCCCACGCCCGCGACGCGCGCTCACCTCGCCCTGGTGGCCGCGCCCAGCGCCAGAGCGCACCTAGAGGCGCCCCCCAGCGAGGCGCTCGGCACAGCGGTCCCACACGGCCTGATGCAGATCGAGATAAGGCGACGGCTCGTGGCCCAGCTGATGGAAGAGGAGGTATTCTGCCCGGCGCGCGGAGACGTCATGGACGCGCACTGCGACCACGCCTTGACGCGCGCCTTCCAGGGCGACCGCACGCGCCGCCACAACAAGCTGCAGAACGGCACATTCTTCGCCGCCCAGGCCGCTGGCTGCTCGGGGGCGGAGCTGGGGCAGCCCAGACTGCTGCCGCCGCGGGCGCCTGGCGAGGGGCCCAACGCCGAAGAGCCAGACGGCGACGGACTAGACAACGACGGCCGCCGGCCCGCGGATATCAACGTCCACCGATGGCGCGCCGGGCTCGCAGCAGCCCTGGACTTTGCGGTGACGCCGGGCCTGCGCGCAGACCTCATCGCGCACTCCTCCGCCGACCCAGCCGCCGCCCTCGACCGGTACGAGGAGTTCAAGCGGCAGCACCACGGCACGGCGCAGGCCTGCCGCGACGCCGACCTGACCTTCATCCCGATGGTGGTGGAAGCGCACGGCGGGAGCTGGGGCGGCGAGGCGCGACGCGCCTTCGCCGTGCTAACCAAGCGCGCTGCCGACGCGCGCGGGGAGGAGGCCGCCAGCACGGCGGACAGGATGGCCCAGCGACTCTCCATCTCACTGCACAGGCAGAACGCGCGGGCCATTCTGCAGCGCCTGCAGCGCCCGCGGCCGGGGGCGACCCCAGCCCGCCTGGCGGCGGCGGCGGCGGTGGAGGCGGCGGCGGCCGTCGCGTGAGGCGCAAGGACAGGCGGCGGGCGCCGAGGACGACGAGGCGAGGGGGGCGACCAGGAGGAGGAGGAAGAAGAGGGGGAGGAGGAGCAGCAGGAGCACGACGACGACACCATGAGGAGGCAGCGTATAGGCGCTGAGGAAGCCCAGAGGAGGGCGGCGACCAGAGGAGGAGGAGAAGGAGGAGGAGGAGGAGGAGGAGGAGGAGAAGGAGGAGGAGGAGCGGCAGGAGAGCGACGACGAGACCACGAGGAGGCAGCAGGGAGCGCTGAGGAAGTCCAGTGGAGGCGGCCAGGACGACGGCCAAGAGGCAACACAAGACGAGAGTCGAGGAGACGGAGAGTGCGCCACGACCATGAACCTTTGCGCCAACGACAGCCGCTGCCGCAAGGGCGTCATCACAGACCTGAACTTGAGCTTCATTGGCGTCGGCAAAGTTGGCCAGACCATCCAGATAGACTCCACGGTCTTGAAGATCGGCGGCGTCCTGGGCGTGGCCGAGGCGAGGGTGAAGGACGTTAGCACCGACAAGGTGATCGCCGTCGGACGGCACACTTTGATGTTTGTCGGCGAGGACAACTCTGCCACGACCTTCAGCCAGTCCTTGAACTCGGTCTTCGACGTGTGAGGCGAGCGGCCGCGGCCGGCACGTTCTCCTATCGCTCGCCGTCGCGCACGGCACCTATCACCAGACCACGCACTTCGGCCCCAGCGTCGTGGACGTCGACGTCGTGTTCTCCGTGGTGCCTCCGCCTAGCCCGGCCTTCAGTCGTGGAGTGGCGCCCCTCTTCCTGACCCATCGCTCCCCCGCGCCCCTCGGGACAAAGCCTGACCTTGATCGATGCACTCTCAAGTTCAAGCGCGCAGCCCGAGCCAGCACTGTCTGAGCACTGCTTGCTGTGGCGACGGCTCGGCGACAGTCCTTACCGCAAGGCATCACATAATTGTTTCCATGCGGCAAACGCGCTGATGCTTCGCAGCCGCAGGCGGCTTCGAGTCCCAGGCAGGAAATGAAGGCGAGGAGGAGGAGGAGGAGGAGGAGGAGGACGAGAAGCAGGATGAGCAGGAGGAGCAGGAGGAGGAGGAGGAGGAGGAGGAGGAGGAGGAGGGGCGGGGCAGAAACCGACGACGGCGAAGACGGCGACGACGGCGACGACGACGACGACGACGACGACGACGACGACGACGACGACGACGGCGGCGGCGGCCGGCGGCGGCTGCGGCGACGGCGGCGAAGGGCGCGGCCGTGGCCTCCGCGCAGCGCCCGCTCGCGGCCGCGCCGCGCCGCGCGGGCGGGCGAGGGCGCAGAGCGCCAGGACGGGGCCGCAAGACGCGCGGTGGGCCTCGCCCGCGACGCCGTCTGCGGCCTCGCCGTGCGCCTCGGCCTGGGCGCCGCGGGGCGCGGCCCGCCGGCCGTGCAGCGCGGCGGCACGGCGCAGCGGCAGCGCAGCGGCAGCGCAGCGGCAGCGCGGCGGCAGCGCGGCGGCAGCGCGGCGGCGCGGCGCAGCGGCAGCGCTTGCGTGGCAGGGTCCAGCGCAACGGCAAAGGCAGCGCCGCGGCAGCGCCGCGGCGGGACGGGCTGCGTCAGCACAGAAGGCGGGCCCATGGAGGTAATTTTCCATGCGCTCGGGCCCCACAGAGGGTCCTCCACGAGCCCCCCTAGTCCGACGAAGAAAGGCCGGGGACGAGGAGGTTGGTACTGGGGAGAGCCGCGGGGTCTTCGCTTAGGGAGCTGTTGCCCCTGCGACACACTGTGCCATGCAAGCTGCGGTGGCGTGTCGCTCTGTGGAACGGGAGGCTGAGCCTGGAGCGTTGATGCTTGGGGACTAGGCCGTACTCAGCGTGTCACGCCGAAACGTGGTGGGCCAGAACCAGCGGCGCGACACGCTAAGCAAACACTCCTCACCGTGCAGTCAAGCTACACAACCATCAAGGAACGGTGAATGAGGAACGACGCACCCCAACTGGCACCCTAAAGAGCCTGAGTGCACGGGAGCGAGGAGCGCCTGACGGCGCCGGAGGAAAAACCGTGGAAGGACCTCGGGAACAGCGAGCCCCCTCCGAACCCGAGCAGCTCCTCACATCAGCATCCGAACTGCAGCATACGCTCCCTTCAGGATCCCTTTCCCTTCCTGGCGGCACGGGCCCCTGCCGCGCCGCACCAGGCCGTCCGAGCCGCGCGGTGCTGCGGCAGCGCGGGCCCGCACGAGGCGAAAAAGGCCGGGCCGTGTCGGAGACTCCGCGGCCTCCGACGCAGGGCGCCGATCACAGCGAGTTTCGTCTGCCTAGGGCCTCGTGAGGACTTCTGGGCACCCTTCGGGTGATCTTGGGCCGTCGAAGGGCTCTCTGCTGCCGTCTTGGGTTCCTCTGGATCCTGTTGGGCGCTTACGGCTCTCTTGGGGCCGTCAGAGCGCGGTGCGGGGGGCGAAAAAACGATCCCTGGGAGGGAAAGGACTGAGGGCTCCGGACTCCACGGGCTGAGGCAGAAGCCAGGGCGTCGATGTCTGTGGGGCCCGCGGCGGCGACTGCGGCGGCGCCGGTGTCGGCGACAGCGGTGACGAAGCGTCGGAGGCGGCGGCGACGAGGCGGCGGCGGCGGCGGCAGCGGCGGCGGCGGCGGCGACGAGGCAGCGGCGGCGGTGGCAACGAGGCGGCGGCAGCGGCGGCGGCGGCGGCAGCGACTAGGCTCCGTCGCTGTGACCCAACGGGGGCGGCGTCCCCCCCCGGGCCACGTGGTTCGGCTGCGGCTGCAGTGCCGGCTGCCCAGGGGCCTGCGCCGTCGCCGTGGCCTGGGCGGAAAGAGAGGGTCGTTCTGGGCTGCTCCTGGTTTCCATCACTGCCACCACCATCATCCCCGTCGGCACCACCTCCGCCTTCTCGTCGTCGTCCTCCTTCTCGTCCTCCTCCTCCTCCTCCT